ATAGGTTACATTGTAACAGTGCTATTAAGAATTTTAGTTTGGTTATTGTTTAAAGTCTTGAGAAATTTTCATGATGTAATGTTCAATTAAGAAAGGATAATGCAAGACACAGAGTAAATAACTTAATTTTACTTAAATTTGTGAATTCAAAGTGTTCAAAGGGAAGGTGGTTTAAAAAATATACCACATTTTTTAAAAATGTTAATGCTGGGAGGCTGGTTGGTAGGAATACAGATGCTTTTTCTTTTCATAATTTCCAGAGTTTTAAAAAATTTCTACGAAGAAAATATATTTTAATTTTTATATTTACAATCATCGTATTGTGAGAAAAATGAATACAGATTAAATAGAAACAGTCTTTATAAATGACTTATTGGAAAGCAAGAAAAATTTGTTTCAGAATGGCACAGTGATTAATCATCTCTTTTAGATCTACACCATTAGGTTTACCCTCATGAAATTGTTGGGTCAATATGCTCAAGAGAATGTGAAATCATTTGTCCCTAGAGATTTTCTAGAAAAGATAAGAGAATCATTCCATTGGAAAGTTTAGAAATCCACCTTTCTGAGAACAACAGAGTGGAACTAATTACCCTTAAGCTCCCTTGTAGTCTTACGAGTCTGTCAGTTTTTGCATATTGAACATTTTGATTTATCAAAGGCAAATTAAACAAAGTTCTCATCATCTTTTCTTGACTCTGTTTTGCTAGCTTTTAAAATTTGACACTCTTATGCTCACTTTTGGGGATCCTGCCATTTTTTCTTATCATCAAGCAATTAATTAAATTAACAGGTATTCAACGAGTGCTCCTCATGTGCCAAGCACTGTAACCAGTGAGTTAGATTTGGAAGAATATCAGACCTGAGTTTAGGAGCAGATGTTTTTCACAGGGGTCTTGTGCTTGGGCTTTCTGAAGAACCAATATCCTTTGGGTGCGGTATATCAGCTTCATTGCACATACCTGGCCACTTCCTCAGAGCAAGGCTCTACACCAGGGACCAGACTGTGGCAGGTTTGGATGGGAGTCTGGGAGGGAATTGTTGTGAAATTAACTGTCATTGAGATTCTGGGGTCTTGTCCTCATTTACTCGCACCTTGATTGACTGGTGTTGGTTAGGGTTTGGGACCTCAGGAATTTCCCAGGTGAAACCTGAAACTGGCCCCCATACAGAGTGCTAGGAGAGAAAGAGGCAGGCAGCTCCGTATTGGTAGGTGGCAGGTTTAATAAGCAAGGAACTCACATAGCAGCCTTTTCTTGGGTGGCCACAAGATGAGGTGATCTCCACACTCACCTGCCAGAATCTAAAAAGTTTACATAGAAGCCTTAACTGGGTTCAGAAACAAATACCATCCAGATGGTCTCAACAACACACTGTTCTCTACAGGCTATATTCTTGAATGTGGCTTTTATTGTGGAAACTGTGTGCAGAAGGTACATTTTAATGACAGAGGAGGGGCAAGGAGCCTTGAATGCCTGGGTCCAGCTGGAGAGTCGACTGGTGGTTACATCCTTTCGATGATCTCCTCCAGCACTGGAGGGCCTATGTGGAAAAAACTATGTAGAAGCTTATTCCCCAAGGAAATTGGGCCATAACCATTAGAAAATTCTGGGAGGAAAGTAAAGATAAGAGAGTTAAAATGAATGGTTAGTGAATTATTCCCCTTTTAATATTTTAATTCTCATAGTTAAATCCTATTTTATGCAGTTTATAGTGTTTTGACCAGTGGCATTTAAGAGATTTTCCTAAGACATAAAGTACAATAAAGCCAAAATAACTTCTAAAAAGATACTTTTGAACTTATTAATAAACATGAATTCATTGAAGCAAGGAAGAACTTGATTTGCAAAACTTACCTATATCATCGAAGGCATAGATGAAAGCAATTTTGTAAATTTGCTTAATTGTTCTGTCCCGCTGTGGACATTAGCCAGTATTAGGCCTTTTAGCACCAACATGAACTCTTCCCTTTGAATCTAATTCAAAAGAAGATACCTCTAGGAATTTAACAATCCTTTTCGTTACCTTGAAAATCTACCTATGTAGCTCTAGGGGGAATCTGTTGGGTTGCCTCTCAAAAAGTCCCTTTCTCCAAAAGCCTTTAACACATCAACGATCCAGAGAAGCTACTTGTATCAAATGACATTAAACTGGGAAAAAAGAGCCACTTCCTCTTCCCATCGCTGTGGGTGACCACTGGGGCCCCGGAAGCCACACCTCAGCCTGTCAGTGTCAGTCAGTCATGCCTGGGAAAACAGGACGTTTCTGCGAATGTTCTCTTTTGCGCTCATTCTGTGTTTTTGTCACTCACCTCAGATAAGGTTTGTAAATGATAACGGAAAGCTACATTTTAAGTTAGATAGACTGAGTTGTTGGTGTGCAGTCTCTGATAGCTTCTGGAAGCGAGACAGGCATTTACCAGAGGAAGCAAGACTGAGGACTAAGCCTCTTACTTCCAGGCTCATGTGTTCTCTAAGGGTTAGGGTGCTTTACTAGGTTAATTTTAGAAGAAGCATGATTGCTTCTACCCAGGGATTAAAAACAGTGAACTGTATTTGTTTTTATAATATTTATCACATGTCTGACTCATCAAAGAATTTCAATAACATTTTCTTCAGTGGACCTAGGTTCAAATCCCAGCAGTGTCAACTAGACCTGGGCCAGCCATGTAAGGTCCCTGAGGTTCATTTTCTCTATTTTGTAAAATGGATAGAAAAACATTGCCAGTGCTCCCTTTTGAGGAAAAAAAGCAGGCTAAAGTTAAGAAATATATTTTTAAGCTGTGGCCTTGTGTGAAAAAACAGTTATTACTGTGTATACATGCTAAATGTGTTTATGGGTAACTGTATATATAATGTCGAGGTTATGAGGAGAGGTTAAAAGAGGTTGTTGGAATACCCAATTTGAGTCCCATTAGGGATATTGGTGCTTTATATGTCTGTCATTTTACCAGAGTTAAATTTCCTTATAGCACTTATATCCTATATTTTTGTTTGTTTTAAAATATTTTTCTAACAAACTAATAGCATTTACTAAAATTACCCAGCTGAACCCCAGGCACTTAAAACAACATCTGGCACCCAGTAGACACTCAGACATTTTAAAAAATAAATTAATGCCACTACATGGCAGAGAACCAGTCACCACTGGGTCTCTGTCTGTCACTATCTGTGCTGGTCAGTATTTTTGACCCTACTTGAGATTAGAGATATGAGTGATAAGAAAATCACAATTTTTATATCCTATTCAAATAGATAAGAAAATTATTTTAAAATACTGTGTATGGGCAAGTGTTTTGCTACTGAAAATTAGAGGATTATGCAGGAAGATATAATTATTAAATCAAAAATTTATGGTAGGCAATATGTTTTACCTCAGATCATTATGCTTAACCTTTGTGTAATTAATATCATATTCTTATTTGTTACACTTTCTAGGAAACAGATTTTAGTATTCTTTTGATATTAAAAAGCATTATTGGCTCACCTACTGAAAGAAACAGTTTTAAATGGGATATTATAAATATATAATCAGTATATCCAAATATTGTTTCATGTTTATTCAAGCATAACTGAAGTAGTTGGCATATTTTTGGCGAGTCTTGGCAAATTATCTTTTCAGAAATGTTTAAACCAAACTGACAGTTTGGTCTATCTGACAGCCTCTATTCACAATTGTCTAATTTTTTCACAATATGAACCAAATTATTTTCTTGCGCATAAAGTTAATAACAAAAAAAGGGTTTTCTACCATAATGATTACTTTGCAACTTGAGAATGTGGGGAAGCATTGTAGTTGTGCTTAAGGACATGAATAATTGATATGAAATGTTCCTGGGAGAATCATTTTTTTTTTTCCATTTTTTTTTTTTATTGCTTAAAGTATTACAAAGGGTAATACATATGTGTCCATTTTTTCCCCCGCCCTAGACAGTCCCCTAGCCTCCCCTATCCTGGGAGAATCATTTTAAGGACTTTAGAAACTTTTTGTTTTATATTCTTTCTCTGGTAGACATAATTTAGATTTCTTTCTGAATTTGAACATTTTTGTTTGTTTGATTTGAACACTATTAAATGCTTTCTGTCTTCTATTTCTCTCAATACCATTATATATTCTAATATTTTGTTCTCTGGTTGATGTAAATTCTGTTTTAATATTTTAAATATTACATAGGGCTGCTTGATCATTTTGGTACTTTCTCATTTTTTTTTAAAAAACCTGTTATAGTTTGTTTGTTTGTTTCTGTAATAACAGAACACTTTAAAATTGACAATTTATTTTCATTGGTATTCATTTATATGAATAGAATTCAATTTTTTTAAATTTATTTTATTGATTTTTTACAGAGAGGAAGGGAGAGGGATTGAGAGTTAGAAACATCGATGAGAGAGAGAAACATTGATCAGCTGCCTCCTGCACACACCCTACTGGGGATGTGCCCGCAACCAAGGTACACGCCCTTGACCGGAATCGAACCTGGGACCCTTGAGTCCGCAGGCAGACTCTCTATCCACTGAGCCAAACTGGTCAGGGCAGAATTCAATTTTTAACATTGAGGAAAATATCCAAATTATCTAATACCATCATATTCCTTTCTTTAATATTGTAATAATAATTCCAAATTCAAAATAATTTTATGTATTGAATGTTTTGTGTAGGGGATATAAAATAAGGCCCAGTAATGTGAGGAACTATTTCAGTACTATACTGCATTAGACTCTATATGTATTTTACTTGATAGAGAAATAGAAAAGAAATATTTAGTATCATTGCCTTAATTAAAATTCTGTTGATTGCAAACAACATAAACCAACTGGAATAAATTTACAAAAACTAGGAAATGTAATCATAGACATTGAGTTATCTAATGAAACACAAGGGCAACTAGGGCTCCCAAATGACTGGAGTCAAGATTAAGAAAACCATCAGGACACCCAGTTATAATCTGTCACTTCTCTGTTTTGTTTTGAGTATCTGTGTCACTTTTTCTTTCTTTGTAGACTGGCTTCTTGTGCTTCTCTATGACTATGATGGAAAAACGGTTACTCAAGTACCAAGTTTATATCAACATTGCTTCATCTACTCTAACTGGCTGTCTATGACCTTCAATTGCAAGTTCTTGATAAAGCGTTTTTTATAAATTGGGCTTTGAAAATAATTGTGGTAATTATTAATGCTGTTCACCAACTATTTCTTTCCACCTTGGAAGCATGTGATAGGCTTGCACTTCCTAGCGCCATTGTAGTTAGGGGAGACCATGTGACTTATTCTGGTCAATGATGTGTGAGCCGTTGTGATGTGTGTCATTTAAATAGCAGTAAGAGGCTCTCTAGAGTGTGCTGTTCATCTGCTTTGATGATGAGCAATGTTACATTTAATGGCTACTCATCAGCTTGAGTTCCTAAAGAAGATATGCCTCGGCATCCCTCAATGGAACAAGAAGTAAACCTTTATTGTTTTAAATTACTGAGATGTTTTGGTTGTTTGTTATCTCAGCACATAGCCAAGCCTGTCTTGACTAATACATAAATATACCTGGAATTGTATTCTGTTTGCAATATTTTCATGTGAATTTGATCTGTCATTTAAAACTCCTCTCCAGGCCACCGCTTTATTCCTGTTTGCCATACACTCGCACCATTTTCCTGTCCTTGGCTCCGTACCCATTTTCTTCTATCATTCTGTGTTGCTGTTTTAAAAATTCTCAGAAAACACATAGGGCATTAAAGTCTGTTGGAATAATCATTGGCCTAGGACAGTGATGGCGAACCTATGACACGCGTGTCAGAGGTGACATGCGAACTCATTTTTTTGGTTGATTTTTCTTTGTTAAATGGCATTTAAATATATAACATAAATATCAAAAATATAAGTCTTTGTTTTACTATGGTTGCAAATATCAAAAAATTTCTATATGTGACACGGCACCAGAGTTAAGTTAGGGTTTTTCAAAATGCTGACACGCCGAGCTCAAAAGGTTCGCCATCACTGGCCTAGGAGTTAGAAGATATACATGCATTTTTTAACTTATTATTCAGCTATGAACTATAGCATTTTATAATTTTGAAACTCAGTGTATATACAGGTGTGGGCTACAAGGGATCAATGGGGGAAAAGGAGGGGCATCTGCAATACTTTCAACAATAAAGATTTTTTAAAAAGTAAATGAACATATTATACTCTCTTATGCCTCAATTATAGTGTATAAGGAGTAAAGCACTATAGTTTTCTAGTACATATTTAAGTTATTGCTATCTATCTATCCATCCATCGGTCATCTATATATATAAAAGCCAAGTGACCAGAACACTGGATGACTGGAATGACCAGAACGATTGGTTGCTTTGATGTGCACTGCGGCCCCAATTGCCCCCCCCCCACCCCGATCAGGAGCAGGGCCAGCTGGCCAACTGCCCACAGCCCCTCTCCCCAGCCGGCCCTGCCCCTGATCAGCCCACCCCCACCCTGATTGGCCAACCTCCCGTGGACCCTCCCCACTGGCTGGCCCGGTGTGGGCTGGCCAGACCCCACCCATGCACAAATTCGTGCATCAGGCCTCTAGTTTTTATATAAATTTCTTAGGTGTGTTTTCCTAAGGCATAGCTGGGCATAGTTTTACTTGCTAAGTTTAACTAATGAATATACAAGTGTATAAATTCTTAAACAATGATAATGACATGTGACAAATTAATAGTGATCTCTTTTCAATATTTTAATTGCTTTTAAAGTTTTGTTTTTTCTGGATTTCTTATATTATGTTTCAACATAGTGATTAAAGGAAATGATAATTCTAGTCCCAACTTCAGGGCACTATGGATAATGTCCAGGTAGTGATTTAACTATGTTGCCCATTGGATGCCCATACTAGCACTAAGTTATACCCATGTAGCTGTTTCTGGTTAGACAGGAGGATTTATTAGTCATGTGTACTGGTGGGAGATTTGGGAGACAGACACAATCTTTCTGTCCCCTTTAAATATTGTTCTGTGAGAAACAAGGTCATGGAGATGGGAGGTGCTTCTCAGGCTCCATTCTCGAGCTTCTGGTGTTGAGAGGCACAGATGTAGCCGTAGTAATGGTGGCTTCTTATTTTCAGCATCCTGACACCCTCTGCAGTCACAGCATATGCTCTTGAAATCTGTTTTTCAGTAGAGGACTCTGAGGTGGTAATTCCCTAGTAGCTCACTTCTGTCCTGGTCTTTATTTCTGGAGGCCCAGTTCAGAGCTTGCTCCTGTACCTTCTCAATGATTCTGTAAGAACCTAACCTGTATTTAATTTATTCTTACATAAAATATCTAGAGCAGTGGTTATTAAACTTTAGTGTGCCTCAGAATGACCTAGTAAACTTGTCATAGATAACATGGTTCCACTCCCAGAATTTCTGATTTTTTAGATATGGAGGTAGGATCCAAGAATATTGACATATAATAAATTCCCAGAGTGCTGATCCAGAGACCATACTCTGAGAACCATTGATCTAGAGCGATGGTCGGCAAACTTCGGCTCGGCAAACCATGGCTCGCGAGCCACATGTGGCTCTTTGGCCCCTTGAGTATGGCTCTTCCACAAAATACTGACTTCTGCGCATGGGCCACTAAACTTCAGTCGCACTGTCCGTGCGCGCCCACACGTGGTATTATTTTATTTTTATTGATTTTTTACAGAGAGGGATAGAGAGTTAGAAACATCGGTGAGAGAAACATCGATCAGCTGCCTCTTGCACACCCCCTACTGGGGATGTGCCTGCAACCAAGGTACATGCTCTTGACCTGTATCGAACCTGGGACCTTTCAGTCCGCAGGCCGACACTCCATCCATTGAGCCAAGCAGGTCAGGGTGCCACACGTGGTATTTTGTGGAAGAGCCACACTCAAGGGGCCAAAGAGCTGCATGTGGCTCGCGAGCCGCGGTTTGCCAACCACGGATCTACTCAGCAACTGTAATGAAGCAGGCCTTGTCCCAAAATATATGAGATAATCCAGGACAGTCACAATTGTTTCTCAAAATTTCATTATTTGGATTCATAATGAAGTAATGATTCCCACATGGAGAATATTAATTGGATTTACAATAAAATGTTTAATAAGAGGTGTTAGTACAGATTTAATAATTAGTAAAATATGTGAGAATGGCTTACGTTGAGTATATATATTTTATTCTTTGGAATAAAGCCTGTTCAGGTGATGTCATCTATATATATAAAAGGCTAAATGGCCAGCTGACCAGTAGTTATGATGCACAATGACCACCAGGGGACAGATGCTTCGACCAGTAGCTATGACGCACACTGATCACCAGGGGGCAGACACTCAACGCAGGAGCTGCCGAGCAACAGCAACTTTGCAGAGTGTCCTCTCACACTCCGGGATCCCTTGGGGATGTCTGACTGCCAGTTTCAGCCAGATCTCCGCAGGCCAGGCTGAGGGACCCTGCTCACTCCACAGACGCTCTTAGAGCCCCGGCACCAACCCAGGTGCGGCCAGCTGGGGAGGAACCACGGGAGGTTGGCTCCAAGGTGTGTCTGGCCCATCTCGCCCAGTCCCACCCCACTGGCCACCTTCTAATTAATTTCCTTTAAATGTGCACAAATCCGTGCATCAGGCCTCTAGTATAGTATAACATTATCATACATCAACATATATCTCATATACCTTCCCGCCCTCATACCCCATCTGAATATCAGCTGAGGATAGAGAGCTTTTATCACTATAGAGCTTTTCTGTACATTCCATTTTGAAAATAGAGGCTTAAACTAAACTACCATTTAAATTTAATTATTATATTTTCATATTGCTTATAAGAGAATATTATTTTAATTTTAGCTTAGTCATCTATTTTACTTCATTTAGCTCAATATTTTTTACATAAAAGATTTTGAGGTCCAAAGATATAAGCATGAGGAAAAAAAGTTGAAGCTAGCATCTAAATCTTTTAATACTTGTCTTTTTTTTTTTTTTTTTTCCCCCATTACTACTATCAACTCACTCTCTCTGGAGTGTGGGCCTCATGTTATGTGTACATTCAAATCAGCAGTGGAAAATTTTGCCATACTTGAAACAAAAGTTAAAAAATACATTACTGTGAAATACATTGCCAAACCCATGCTGATGTTTAATACTTAAATAACAAGCAGAGGTCACTAGTTGCTACCAATTTTTAAGTATATTAAAAATTTTTTGTTTAAAGTATAATTTTATTCTATTTTAAGTTCTTTAATTCTTAGAAATAAATAATATATTTGGATGTCATCCAATATCTCTCTATGAATTAAACTCCCTTATGCTATAATCATGTTATTTAATCAAAAATTAGCTTCCTGCCAGAGTGGCTTGTTAAGGATTTGCTAATTTCAACTTTCTTCTCTGAAACTTAATGAACACAGCAGGCAATAGCTCCTTTCCCCAGTTCTCAGATACCAAAATATATTTTGGATTTTTATTATTTTCTCCAGATTTATTACTTTTCAAAATCACCTTTTAAAACAATAATTAAAGCAATTAAAAAAGAGAAACAACTCACCATTAATTGAGTATTCTTGAGGCTATGCTATTTTTAATCAATTTAGGATAATTTCAATCTCTTCTAATTTGATTTTATATCCAATTATATATATAACAATTGGGAATTTTCTAATTCAGTCTGGCCTCCTGGGCAACTCATTTCTTCTCTGTTGTCAGCTCTGGTCCATGGAAAGCGTCCTTCCAAGGCTACTTCCTGATTTACCAGAAACCTAGTAAAATTCTCTCCGGGAGTTGTGATATAGTTTAAAACCTAGGTTGCAAATTGGACACCTAATCTTATAATTTAGTGCAGTCTGAAGAGATGAAACAAGTCTCTGCAAAATCATTTTTTATTTAGTATTGATTAGGTGATTGATAATTGTCAAAACGGGGTACAGAAGGTTTACTGTAACAGCCTCTCTACATTTGCATATGATGAAATTTTCTGAAATAAAATGTTTTTAAAAACGTTTAAAAAAGAGAGGCAGTGGAAGCTCTGCTGGCACATTACAGGTCCAGGAAAAACACTAAAGGGTTGTTTTTGAATGAGAAGGAAACCATTTATTTTTAATGATGGTATTATGGAAAATTCCAAGAAAAGAACTGAGGGTCAAATTGTCCTTGCCTCATGGTACCTGGTCAGATTTAGCATATATCTATTTATGAAGGACCAACCCAATGTAACTCCTGAAAGGACAGAACGTTTTTATAAGAAGCTTTTGAAT